GCAGTTGGGTAGGTTGAGAACTGAGAAGCATAAACTTAAATCATCCCTTATTGGCGGGGGAAATCCCATTTTTTGTGTGCTTTCAAAGCTTCTTTATTTCAATTTTGCTAGGAATTTTATTTACAATTTCAGAATTCTTTGAGCTTGCAGCACTGAGTAAATTTTCTACATGCATTTATGCTTCTAACCTGAAGGCTGAAGCTATATTGTGAGCTTAGTAGCTGATATGACATCATGTTCCTGCTTAGAGTACATTTGCCTTTGATCATCTGTAAATAAATTTGATTCCCTTCTTTTGATGTAAATGTAATAGATTTGTGGACAGAACCAACATTAGAATTTCACTAACATGCAAAATAAGGCTACTCTAAGATGGTGTTTAACCTTTCTTTTCTTTATTTTATCTTCTCCTTAATCGAAGCTGTTTAGAGGAGAAGCCAGGATGAACACAATTTTGAAAATATAAAAAATTGAATGTAGTTTATTTTTAAATCAACAAAACCCCTGAAAAATAGCACTTCTATAAAGGCTATTTGGAGGAACTTCTACTTTAACGAGAGCAGAGCCAGAAAGAGCTATGCCAAAACAAAGTTTAGTTACGGAATAGCTCAATAATAACTAGATCCTGAACTCTCTGCATAAGTTGCCCTTTGATCTGAAATCAGTAAAGAATCTGGCTTTGAATTAGCATTAATGTACCTTCGATGACGCTAACTCTGGTGGTATGCATTAGTTGATCAATCAAACCCTGCTGAATTTCAAGCCAATGCTATGGATAAACGCACCAGAAGATCAGATGATCCAGAACATTGTTTACAGGTTACTAGATTTGCCCATTTCATTTTTCTATATCTCAAATCTTTAAACTACTCATGTCATAACAATTGGTTTCTGAACTGATATTTTACAAAAATAACTTTGTATAAGGCTATAAGCCCTGGCATCATATAAGTCTAACTAATCACTATCTCCATTCTTCTGATATAGGAAAAGACTGACCGTTCTATGGTGCCTGATAATGGACAAAAGAGAGTTAAATCACGTTCCCAGAGAGTTTCGAAGGATAAAAAGCCTTCGAAAAGGCAGAGCCTTGCAGGTTTCTATTTGTGATTTATCTCATCCATTTATTTCCAAGAATCCCTCTTGTTGTGAAATAATATTTCTTTGCTCCCAGCTGCTTGTACATCATGGACGTCTGGATTAAGGAGAAGCAGCAGGATGAGGACAAGGCCATTGGAGTACTGGAAAGGAGAAAGACCGGTTTATGGTCGCGTACACGAAAGTAAGTAAAATTATAATGCTCTATCACTTGCTGAATTTGGATATTTGACCTAATTATTTAGACTTCACAGCCACTGTTGACCAGATTAGGTTCTTCATTACTTGTCTCTTGTAACAACTATTTTTCTGTATTGATAACTTTGTATTGATAACTTTTGGTTGAAGGGTAATAGTAACTCAAAGTTCTTTTTTTTTTTTTTTTTATGAAGTTAGCTTTGATTGTGAAGATTGTTCTTGACACAGGATTAAGAATAAAAGATTGTGTGATGTGTGCGGGTTTGGTTACTGTGATTGGGGTGAAGTGTATGTCTCCAGGAAGTGATGGGAAACCCATTATGAAGGTGAAATCTTACGTATCAGATGAACACAAAGAGCTATTGGAATTGGCATCTCTACATTGAATGTAAAATAAGTTCTTGACATTTATCCTCGTGTTTTTTTTCCTCGTAATATCAGACATCTCTACATTGAAGGTAAAATCTGATGATTGAGACCGCTGTCATGGCATATAATTGTTTTCTTTTGTTTCTATTATTAATTTTTACTATTTTATTTCTCTAATATTAAATAAGTCACATTATAAAGTGATACTTAATTATAATTTCAGATAAAAACAAAAAAAAACAAAATTCTCACTCTATTTATGAGACAATTTAATTTATTAAAATAAGATATTTTAATTTTTTTACTACAAAAACATATTTTTCATAAAATTATTAATTTTCTTTTAATAAAAATGATACAGAATATTTTATTACCTCCACATAATAAATTTTCTAGATCCGTCACAGCATATACTCACTTCTAACGTTATTGCTTTATTAAATATATTAATATTAATGTTGGTATTATATAAACAATTTTATATGAATAGAATAACACCCTGGACGGTTATTAGTTACATCAACTCATTCAATTGCCATACTATAATAATTGTTACGTACTCCGATTATTCTATTCATCGCTACCTTTTATCCTTAGGCCATCTTCCTAAGTTAAACGACTAAAGTAAGTTCCAACTTCCAGGTCTGTATATAAAAGCATAAACAGCTTCAATCAACAATTATTTTATTTATTTGGTTAGTATATTAAAATAATTCATTCATTTCTAACGTAAAAATCACACCTTGAGTTTGCATTGGCTGCATTCGCCTAACGTTGAGATATAGTTGAATTAAAAAGAAAAAAGATCTAGATGAATTATTACGCTAGTAGCTTCATTGTCTTTCATGTATAGAGTTTATATTTCAAAAAAGAGAAAAAGTTAAAGTATAGATGACTATAAGTGTAAAGTAACTAAAAATATGGGTAACGCGTATTAGTCTTTTCACCGTGAATTTTAGGATATTGTGTAAATTATATTTAAAAAATTAAAATAAAATTTTTATAAAGTATAGACAAGTAATTTCTATTTTATTTATGATGGTATAGTATATTAGTAAATTTAATAATAATATAAGAAAGAGATTTGATTTATTTATTGAAAGAATGCATGGAGACGAAGACGATGATGGCATGGATAAAATAAATATGAAAATTGGGCGGTGGTCACATGACAGCAATGCTTCTAGAAGAATGGTGATAATGAGTCATGGCATACGACAAATCTCAATAATGCATTGCATAGTGTTTTTACTTTTGAATGCAATAAAGGAAACTCAATCACAAATAATCAATTTTCCACATCACGATGGATGAGAATGAGATGAATTGCCCATCAATTTATGCATGCTGCTAATTTCTACCCTTTGGCTCTACCAATGGTCACATCTTTGGACTTGTGCTTCCAACTTTTTCACATTTCAACTGTTCCTCACATGAATTTTTCTCTTTAGTGTGAGGGTCATGATTATGATTGTTTCAAATAACCACCTTCTTCTTTCGAATTATCATCCAAAGTAATCTCTTCCAACTACTAGTGTTATCCTTTTACTTCCCTTTTATTATCACTAATTATAAATTGTAACTACTTGAGTCCTCCACGTATTTTCAATATAAACCGAATATCTTATTCAAGCAAAGTGTAATTGTTTTAGTTTTTATAATGTTTTCATTTTACAAATATAAAGGTATAAAAAAATAAATATTTTTCTAAATAATTAAAAAATAAAATAAAACATTTTTTTTCATCAAAATTAGCTTCAGTACTGTGTCACTCAATACAATGATATTTTTATCATGGGAGAACATTTAAGAGTACTAATAAAAATTTAGTTATATTTGTTTAAGATGTCTATTATATTGTTGTTTTACCTTACTTGTTTTTCTATATTTCTTATCTCTTATTCTTAAGATTTTGGATTAACTAGCTATTATCTCTTCATGTGCCATATATCTTGTATAACTAATTTATTATGGGAATATTTTTGCTTATCCTTAATATATAATTGTTATTGCTATAAATTATTTGTATTTAATGAGTGTATAAATAATTATTTATTCTCAACGAGTAACTAAATATCATAGTAACAGTTGGTTGAAAAATGTACTCTAATTCTTTGTTTGAGAGACGGGAAGGAATAGAAGGGAATGATAGATAATAGATGATAATTGATTTGATAGAAAATAGAGTAGAATATAATGGAATTTGTAATTGTTTGGTGTTACCTCAGAAGCTCGGAGGTTGCAAAATTTATTCTCTTTTTTCCACAACTAGAATCCAAGTAAGGGGAGTTGGAAATCATTGAAATTTGTGCCTAGTTTTGAATTGTTTGAATGTTGAAGTTGGAGTTTGGGTTTCAGTTCGGTTTTGATGCAAAAAGCATGAACTTGATTTAGTAAATTTGGATGCATGTCATTTTGAAGTGGATAAATTAGTGTAAAAGAGCACTCCACAAGTGTTATAAGTGAAACTTATGAAATGCATGTGAGAAATGAAAGAGAAACCGAGAGCATGTAGAAAAAACTTTGCACTTAGTTTTGAAGTAGTTTCAACACTAGAGTGCTAGAAATACCCCCAACTAAGAGATTTAAACAGAGATTCAATGCTACAATGGCAAAATGAGCGCTATAATGGGGAAAATTAAGGTTTGGCAAAGATCCAGCGCTTTAGCAACAATTGAGCACCACACTGATAGAGGAAAATTAGACTAGCAACAACGCTAAGTGTTGTAGAAGCAGGGGCAAATGACTGAATCTAGTCTTAGGGTCTTCATGAAATTTGTACCCCTATATGTTAATTTTCTGATGGTGGTGAAATCGCCTCAAAAAATGGTTTAAAACTCAAATTATGACATTTTTATATTATATATAATAAGACAAATCATTACAAAATACAATTTTTTTTCTTTCAAACTCACTCTAATCTATCTTCATCCCTGCTAATTCTTCTCTACTAAACATAAACTAACATTGATTGGTAGGAAATCCATTAATGTGATCTAGGTCATTTGGTCCTTGACCAAAGAACGTACGTGTACTAGTAAATCTATAATGTCACACACTTTATTCAATTAACTAATTAAACTCATTGATAAATATACTATTACTTCTATTTGATAGCTTGATAAATATTCGGGTTCATAATTTTTTTTTACTTCATTTTTTTATGTTTTACACATTACAAGTAACTTTTTTTTATATATATATTTCTATTCAATAATTATTATTCTTACTTCATAATTATTCTTATTAAAGATATTTAATGAGAAAATTTTAAACCCAACATAATAATATTTGTTGAGAGTGATGGTGAATGAAGAGAACATATTCCTTGTGTATTGCAAAGCCAAAAGATGTGTTTAAATACAAAGTAGTGGGCCTAGGCCCATAAGATAAAATTATATCTAACACTCCCCCTCAAGCTGGTGTATATAGATCATATGCACCAAGCTTGTTACAAATATAATCAATCCTAGGACCCCGTAATGATTTGGTGAAGACATCTGCCAACTGATCAGTAGAGTTAACAAACTGAGTAGTAATGTCCCCAGATAAAATCTTCTCACGAATGAAGTGACAATCTATTTCAATGTGTTTGGTCCTCTCGTGAAATACTGGATTTGAGGCAATATGCAGGGCAGCTTGGTTATCACATATGAGAGTCATCTGTGAAACTTCGCCAAATCTCAGCTCTTTAAGCAACTGTTTGAGCCAAATAAGCTCACACGTAGCAGAGGCCATGGCACGGTATTCTGCTTCTGCACTAGATCTTGCCACTACATTCTGCTTCTTACTTTTCCACGAAATCAAGTTATTGCCAATAAAGACACAATAGCCTGAGGTGGATCTCCTGTCAGAGGGAGAGCCTGCCCAATCTGCATCTGAGTATCCCACAACCTGGGTATGATTGTTGTAGCCATATAATAAACCTTTTCCTGGAGCACCTTTGATATACTTCAGAATGCGGATGACTGCATTCCAATGTCCTGCACATGGAGAATTGAGAAATTGACTCACCACACTAACGCATTTTTTAAACCAAAAGACATTACTACCCATTTGTAAGTTCCCAAAGCACCTGGGCACCTAAAAGCAATTTTCGACACATCATTTTTAGCAATATAAATCTGGTTGTACCTAGAATATCCATCTAATAAACTAAAAATTTCATTACCTGTGACAAAATTGATCATTGTTTCAGCAATAGGGATGGGATATGCATCCTTAGGCGTAGCTGCATTTAGATCTCAAAAATCAATGCATACCCTCATTTTTCCATTCTTTTTTATAACAGGCACAATGTTCGATACCCAATCGGTGTACCTTGAAGTACGAATGAACTTGGCCTTCAGTAGCCTCTCGATCTCTTCTTTGATTTTTTCGATCACCTGCAGAGTAAACCTTCGTGGGTTTCGTTTCACTGGTTTCTTCCCCAAGATCATAGGTAACCTATGTTCTACTAAATTTCGATCCAAACTAGGCATTTCTTCGTAATCCCAAGCGGAGCAATCTTTATATTCGTGCAAGACTTGCACGATCTGCTCTTTAAAACTCTCCTTCGCTAGTTTGTTGATGTAGGTGATTCTCCTCTTTTCGATTGTACCCAGATTAACTTCCTCTAAAGGATCCCGAGATTCTACTTTAAGCTCATTATTTTCCATTTTCTTGAATCCTAGAGGAGCATCGTCAAAGACACAATCAAGTCTTTCTTCGATTCTTTCAAATTCCCTACTTTGTTCGTCCTCGATTCTTACTTCGGGATCCTCTTTCTCGGCTGTTTTGATTAACTCTTTTTGGTTTTCCTCTTTTTCTTCGGCCTTCGTGGCCGTTGTCTTTTCTACCTTCACCCGTTGTATGCCCTCTTGGGCCATTTCGACACCATCACATTTCTCGACCCCACTGGCCGTTCTTTCGGCTATGTAGGCTAAAATTCGAGCTAAGAAGCTCGAACATGGGTCTTGTCTCATCATTCTTGCACTTGAGAAGATTCAGTTTCAGCTTGGTGAATAACGAATCCTCTCCGAATATCCCAAAAAAAGGTCTTCTTGATACCTTCTTCTTCCAAGACATATGGATTATTGGCGTCGAACGGCTTAGTTTTCGCAAACGTCGTAATTTGTTGATCTGCGAAGTACATACCTATCTCGTAC